CGGATAATAAAAAATAATGTTGCAATGAATAAGCATATTCCATGCCCCCAATCACCAAACATGACAGCAAAAAGAAAAGGGAATGTAACAATTGTATAAACACCAGGATTTGCTTCTTGATACTTAGCCACCCTGCAATAAATGCAACAAAAAGAATTGTATTTTTGTTCTTTACCGGCAAATTAGCACATAACATTAATGCATTGCATAACATACAGACAGCATATACTCCCCAACAGGAAACCAAAGCAGGAACTCAATAATAAGGTGAATTTACAACTGGGAAATAAAAACTGAATCCGCAATAAGAATGCAACATCAATAAATATAGGTCAAATAACACAGAAATTAATACTGAACAATCTCTTCTTTGAGATCAATAGTAACCTTAAACAACTCTTCAGGATCTTCATAAATGAATTAAGAGGAGCACTTATACTATGATCTCTATTTTCTAACATATGCAGATTGAAAATCAATAATTTATTAATTAAGCCATCACTAGTATCTCCTTAATATCAACATACTGTATTTCGAATCTTAGCCCTTTCAAAAATCATGGCACCTAATGCCCTAGTCTAAAGGGGATCAGTACTCGCATTAAATTATAGTGTAAAGCAACAAAAAAATGCATATATAAGCAGATAATCATAACACCACATCAATATGCACAAAATGCAAAAAAAAGTGTGTGCATGCACAAAAACTCAGAACAAATAGGTATCATCATTTACGATGGATATCTGGTTTTCTTTCTCTTGTGAAACACAGGACCAGTTTCAAATAGTCTTTGAACTTACCCATATGCATCAACAATTTCCTGAAAAGCAGAAGTAAATTTATTTGTGCGGAAGTAAGTAGGTGGTGATTCTCTTGTATGCAAGACCTGAAAAATGGCTCCAACTTGAGAGTTGGAGTCAAATGCAGCCCGCTGAAGTGCCTCCTGAATCTGCACCAAGAAAGCTCAAACCTATGGATTAATAATCAATATATATACATAAATGTAAAGCGCAAGAAGCAGAAAACTAGCACCTGTTTTGTGGCAAAAACAAGACTCCATCCCTCAGCCACAAGACATTTCTTTGTTACATCAAGGCTAAGCATATTCAGAGTGTGATAAATTGATTTCCCCTTTTTCACCTTAAGGAGTTAAAGAAAATAGAGTTTACTCACTGAACTTAGAAAATCAGTTTGACTTCCAAGAGTGCAATTGCATCTCATGTGCAACAGGAAATATAAGCGTAATCAATGAAAAAATGAGATAAGATAATCATCAAGTAACATGATATATATTTTAAACAGACCTTAATGTTCCATTGTTCAAACTGATCCCCGATACTCCGCAACAGATTGTCCCGGAGAAGAAATCCGGCATCTATGGTGGATTTTAGCTCTAAAATTCTTCCAGAAACCTGACATTTATAGTGATCACTGAAATCAGTCAGTAACAACATTCCTAGCAGTTACAAATAAAATGCATAATGATTCAAGTTTCCTTGATGCATTGAAAGAATTGGTACAAGACAGCAAAGGAAGGGGAGGGGTGTCCCTCATCATGAAGTAAAGTTGGAAGTGGTCTGTGAAAGAAAAGATCTAGCATACAGGCATATTAAATGTCAAACAAGCAAGCAACAGTCTGCCAAACCATCAAGAAGTACACAGAAGTGACAGTTCAAATAAAATAAAATCCATACCTCGTTAATCATGAGACCCTGTTTGCCAAGGTCCTCAGCAAAAGGATAACAATTAGCACCAAAAGCTTCACATATCTTCAGAATCTTGTTTTTTGCCCTTTCTCCAGAGAAAAATACCACAAATACATTTTTCTCCATCTGCAAATTAACATTCAAATCAAAGACAACAGAAAACGTGGTACAAGATTAGACAAATGATCTTCTCCTCACAAGTCCAAAATCATAAAACTAAGCTAGCCTAAACATCACATATAAGCATGACTTGAGTGGATTGCACTATAAGTCCTACACCAAGAGTGTTACTGTTCCCATAAACTAGAAAACTAGATCAATTTTAATTTAGGATTGAGATTGTATGTGGGTAGTCATGAATACATGCAAAATTATCTTTGTTCAATCATCTTCCAGAACATAAAATCTAAGATCTTCAAATAAATGGCAGATTGTCTGCAAAATAACTTTGTTTAACACTTTCAGAACATAAAATCTACGATCTTCAAATAAATGATGAATTGTCAGCATCAACGTGATGAAGACTTTGCATGTCTAATTACACAAAAACATAAGATGCATTCTTTCATGTGCACGTATGTGATATACATCTGCATTTTGCGAGGAAAATACTTCAAATATCTCATTCTTGCCATTAAAATAATTTTCACCTTCTCCCCAGAAACGGATCAGTGACAGGGTCGTCTGCAGGAACCTGCTTGAGGAACACATTGCCCCTAGTTGCACGAAATAAAATCCTCTCAAATGCCATAGACTTTTCCCTAGGAACAAGGCCAATAATAAACCCCAATTTCACTTGCTTGGATAAATCTGTTGAGGCTTCCTACAAACAACAGGGAGATTTTTGTAAGAGATGTGACATTATATATAGATTAGATAGTACATCATGCTAAAAGAAAGATGGTGCTTTACTTGCTCTTGCAGTAAAGGAGTTTCTATGGATTCGTCACCCATTTGCTGCGATCTCATTTCTCTCTGCTGAGCAGTAGCACTGCGTTGAGCAGAAGCAAAAAACTCACCAGCCTAAACAGAAAGAGAAGTTAGAAACTTATGCAATAATTACAAAGCATTACAAGCTGAAAGTGAATGGACCTTTGAAAAGAGATATTCACTTGATTGTGGAGAGCGTGAAAAATATTTTAAAAAAATACTTGATGTACAAAGAGAGTAAGGTTCTAATTCAACTCCATTCAGATTCCATAAAAACAAGAACTTAATATGGCAAGAACTATGGTACTAAATCAACTTTTAACAAAGATAGTAAGAAATTACAGTGTTTTTTTTACTCTATCCAATTAGTAGTCTAGTGTCTCAACTCTGAATTGTTTTACTGAAGCATTCTTTCATGTGCACGTATGTGATATACATCTTCATTTTGCGATGAAAATACTTCAAATATCTCATTCTTGCCATTAAAATAATTTTCACCTTCTCCCCAGAAACAGGATCAGTGACAGGGTCGTCTGCAGGAACCTGCTTGAGGAACACATTGCCCCTAGTTGCACGAAATAAAATCCTCTCAAATGCCATAGACTTTTCCCTAGGAACAAGGCCAATAATAAACCCCAATTTCACTTGCTTGGATAAATCTGTTGAGGCTTCCTACAAACAACAGGGAGATTTTTGTAAGAGATGTGACATTATATATAGATTAGATAGTACATCATGCTAAAAGAAAGATGGTGCTTTACTTGCTCTTGCAGTAAAGGAGTTTCTATGGATTCGTCACCCATTTGCTGCGATCTCGTTTCTCTCTGCTGAGCAGTAGCACTGCGTTGAGCAGAAGCAAAAAACTCACCAGCCTAAACAGAAAGAGAAGTTAGAAACTTATGCAATTATTACAAAGCATTACAAGCTGAAAGTGAATGGACCTTTGAAAAGAGATATTCACTTGATTGTGGAGAGCGTGAAAAATATTTTTAAAAATACTTGATGTACAAAGAGAGTAAGGTTCTAATTCAACTCCATTCAGATTCCATAAAAACAAGAACTTAATATGGCAAGAACTATGGTACTAAATCAACTTTTAACAAAGATAGTAAGAAATTACAGTGTTTTTTTACTCTATCCAATTAGTAGTCTAGTGTCTCAACTCTGAATTGTTTTACTCGTCCAAACATATATAGCCTTGCTGCAAAAGTTGGCAACATTTCAACAGCCATCTGTTGGTGTTTCTCATGATATAAAAATATTACTAGGAACTACGAACTGGGCCATCAAAAAATCATCTGATTATGGCAGCAAACAATGCATACCTTTTGCAAAACAAACTTATACTCAAGCAGCTCATTATAACCGCGTTGCAACTTTTCACCATTTGCATTCATTTCAATCAGCTCCGCCTCAAGTTCTCCAAGTTTCACCTAAAACATAACAAATAAAAAACTGAATTCAAGGAAAAAAGAAGAGAAAAAGAAAGCATTTCTAGGCAATAGATGCTGTACCTCTAAGTCATCCAAATTAATGTCAGTTACTGCCGTAGATTTTGCTGAAGTGGAGAAGCCTGCTTTTAGCATTTGTCCTTGAAAAACCGTAACTTGCGTGCCATCTCTCCACATCTTTTAATCTTCATGAGAAAGAGATGTTAGCAAAAAATGACCAAAAACACAATATAGAAGCAAAAAAGAAAAAGAGCAGATTATGGGAACAAAACATAACATCACAACATTCAAATAACTATAGTAATTCAAATCTAATATAAGGACAGTATCTATTTCAAACAAACATCTATCATTTGAGATCCTATAAAACCAGTTGAACTCTTCTAGGACTTCCTAAAACAGCAGCATATGCTATAAAGTGCATGCAACAAATCAGAAACCGACATTTTGGTCAGGTGATGTAGTAGTTTTGGTTCAAGAAAGGTAATATTATTTATTGACAACATTCTTCGGCCAGTGAAAACTGCTATTAGTATATAATTCCCGACACAAATGATCTTCAAAGTAGAAGAAAAAGAAAGAATAAGCAGCAACAGCATGTGCCAAAGATCACACTTCAATCACACTATTTAAAGTAAGTAAAAAAAATACCTGAGCAGCATAAGTTCGCTGAAATGGACTCTTCTCCGAATTGATCTGTAAGATATCATTAGAAAAAGAAAATCAGTCTTAAATCTCCACCAACTGATCCATCAAATTTTTAAAAAAATTGAAAATAAAAACTAGCGTTTCATGAACTTTAATTTTAGAAAAGTAGAAAAAGAAGGGAATCGATGGATAAAACAAAACCCCTAGCATTAGTAATCGTAAAAAATCGATAGGCCGATTCCTATTCCAGTGAATCTCCAACACATAGTTCAAGTCTACGGTTTCTATGAACTTCGATCAAAGACTCGAGCACCGAAAATCGAGTTCAATTCCAAAGTAGAACAAAAAAGAGAGTACAGATTCCGATAGAACTGAGCGTATCAAAGAAATATAATTAACAAGTAAAAGATAAAGTTTACGGACGTCTTTGAATTGAAGGAGACCGAGGTCGCCGAGATAAGATACGGTGAGGTGAGCGGACTCCATTGGTATAATGAGCTGGACCAATTGCATTGCCTCCGAACGGACCAGATCCATCGGAGGGCAGCATCCTCCACGGTCTGCCATTGAGTCCTACACCGTTTGGACTATGTTGATTTTCCCGATCACGAGATAGCAGAGCGAGATGGATCTGTTGGAGTATTTTCTTTTGGATTTGGTTTTGTGGAGTTCAGATAATTGAACGCGTAGTAGAAAACAAAAACCACGGTCAAGGGAAAAGAGAGTAAAGAAAGAAACCTGGGGAGAGTTGTAGAGTGTAAGATGTCTTCCTCTACTCCCTCACTACCACACTCTTCCACGTAAGCCTTTTCCTTCTTCACCGTTCGATGTTACCTTAAAGATTATTTTTTTCTTAAAAGTTAATACTAATAACCCTCGTTTTGGATTTTTTTTACTGTTTCTTACTTACATGTTAAGAGGTTTTGGAATTGTAATTAGTCATAAATCTCAATAGTTGATAGGGTCGATTACTATTTATTAGAATAACCATTTTCGTTTTTTCTCATTGATTTTGAAAAAGTAATTATTAATTTCTTAAATTTTGATCATTTATGTTATCAATTGTTATATTTTAATCATTGAATCGTTAATTATTATTATTTGATAATATATTACGTTAGTAAAAGAGATTAATTTTAATTTGATCCTTGAATTTACATAAGATATTAATATAACCCTTATAATTTAGATGAAACATCATTTTAGACCCTACACTTTAAGTAAAAGTATCGATTTAATCTTTAAATTCAATTAAAATCTCTCACCATCAACCACCACTCACAAATGTCATCCCTGCTCACCAACAATCGTCATCTAAAGTTTAAAGATCAAATTCAAAATATAGAGATTGAAAATATTTGCGTATATAAATTTTAATGTGTAAATATATATATTAATTTCTTTCACCCAGAGATCAATAATACTTTTAAACAAAAAAATTATAAAATTAATATTTCATTTTCATAAAACTGTTATTGTTTAGATTCAGTCAATTTTGTTCTCATTTTTTACTCATTCATTTTTGTTTCACCATTGATTAAAATGTGAAAATAATACTTTTCATAATGATATTTTATAGTGTAGAAAAAGATTTGTTAACTTTGATCTGAATATACGAACAAACTTATATCTAAACCAGATCTAATTGTCTACCTAGATTGAACCTAAATTCTGAATTAGGTTCAGTTCCACCTTCACGTACTCTCAGCGCTAACCAACTTCATTTTTCTATTCAATTTAGTCCACCTTATAATAGATGTACCCAACAGATAATTAAATTTTATCGTTTAACAAAATTAATTTGCGACATTTTAAAACAAGAGAAATGGAAAAGCATAAGCCATCCATGTGTTACTAGAAGCAGCCAAGGATATGATACATGTCACAATCAACTACTTAACGACATACCTAACACTTTCAAAGAAAATGTCTTTCGCAGAGGGTATCTCCGAAGTCGCAAGGCAGCATTCACAATTGGCACATCAGCCGGATCTTAGATGGTTTCGGTTTTTCTTGTAGCTTCTAATCTTCATATTCTCTTCACGCTGTCACCATGAAGAACAACAAATCCCTCACTGGCTAGAGTTGCAACTGCAGTTCTTAGCTGAATTGGACAATAAAGACGAATAGAAAAAGCAGATGTGTTAATCAGTTTGATTATTCATTTTTATGGAGAGTAAAAGGAAGAGGCTTGGATTCTCACATCATGAAGGTGGATTTCACTGCCAGAGCTCTGCTTCTTCAGTTCATCCAGCAACTGTAGCATAAACCAAGTACGGTGTTCAAGCAGTTGATTTTCGGAACTAAAGAAAGCCTTCAGATTTAAATCTACTAAACCAGCTTACCTCTAACAATCGTACTGATGGTCCCCCGAGTTGTAGCTTATCCATTATTATGTTGCGTGCTGCTGATAGCAAACTCTCCCTCCTCATCCGTTCACTTGCAGAAACTCCAGTGGTGATAAGATCCATATCAATGGTTCCTTTAGAGAAAAAAAACAAAGGGAAGAAATGGAAGGATTCGTTAGATTGTTCTTATGGGAAAAAATGAGTTCACAATAAAGAATTGTGGCTAAAATATTACCAGTGGAGTGATCAGTTGCTGATTGCTGCATGGCAACTTCCAAAAGCCGGAATGCTTCAGTTACATCTCCCATTTCGACCTACAAATATCATAATGGATTTTCATTATTTGCTTCATAATGAAATCATTATAGCACGGCTAAAATAAACCTGAGGTAACTAACCCATTCCGAGAAGCGGATACGAGCCAAGGCTTCACTGAGGCGTATCAGACTCTCAATTTGCCTTGGTGTCGCTGTGATGACCTGTTGACATATCGAAATGCAGAAAAGGGTTAAAAAGAAGTTGGTAAAGCAGGCATATCAAAGATCATACTTGATCCACAATGCAAACTCTTGATAGCAATACAAGGTTGTATCTAAATTACACGAAAACCAATGACGAAGAGAAACAGGGGACAAGTGAACTAAATGTATCATACCTTTTTACTGCTGCCAGGGAAATTTCCTCTTTTCCGCATCTCAACATATCCTCGGGTTAGCTCTTCAGCAGCCTCATCTGATAATTTTGGGTGAATATTCTTGCGAGCATAGCTCACATAAGCCGTTAATGTAGCAAGATCTATGACATCATGCTCAGCAATCTGCAAGAAGAGGGAAGGAATTAAATTGAAAGCCCAGGGACAAAACCCTGAACATGACAGATGATAAGAGTTCAAACCTCTGTGTCCTCAAAATGTAAAGAAACAATATGCTTAGCTAAACGCCTGTCTGTCTGTTCATCAGCCTTGTCGAGAATCAAGTAGATTAAATCAAATCTGAGGAACAGATAAACAATTAGGAGGGCATCATAGTTATAAATATATGCATAAGAAGGATCTGAGCAATATCATACCTATTTCTACACAGTGCCAATTAATTACAGTTAGCTATAGCTCGACAAACATGATTTGAAGTCACGAACCAAATAACACCTCCAACAATATTTGAAACTAATATATCATTTAAGCATCCAAATTAAGAAACATGGCCAAGACAATACTTGTATGACAGTATCAAAAGACATTGAGGGTTGAGACCACTAGAACTTGGTAGCTGGTAGGCATCATCTTACCTGGACAACAAGGTTGGAGGCAGGTGGATGTTGTCAATCACGGACAGACGTGGGTTATAGCGTGAACCACTAGGATTTGCACAAGCCAAGACTGAAGTCCTTGCATTAAGAGATGCAATTATACCAGCCTTTGCTATTGAAACAGTTTGTTGTTCCATGACCTGGAAATTGAAGTAAAGTGAATCAATTGTTGTCAACTTTCATAGCATGAATAAGATGAAAATGAATAATTAAAATATGGAAAGCGTAGCTCCTGAGTTTAAATATTTGACACATCATTCTTGTTGTAGAACTTCTCCAAAAAGAACAAATATATAGCAACTTATCCATGCAAAATTGAAGACTAAAATTTAGAACTGCCAAAACTTGGAAGGCATCTCAACCATTGTTAGCATCCACATTTTTCTCATCTTCAACATTGGACCAGTGCACAAATCATGTCTTAACAGGGAACAAGAAAGGCAATGCATAACCAACCTCATGCAGCATGCTCCTTGCATTATCAGACATCTTATCAAATTCATCAATACAACAGATGCCTCTGTCACTCAGAACAAGGGCTCCACTTTCCAAAACCTGGAGGTTATTCATAAATCATAAATGAAAATCAACCATAAAAGTCCAATATTCTAATTAACATCAACGTAAGAAAGAGTAAGAAAAGCATATCATACAGTTTCCCCTGTTTCAGGATCCTTGGCAACATAAGCAGTCAGTCCAACAGCAGAACTCCCTCTTCCGCTGGTGTAAATGCCACGTGGAGCAAGCTTGTGTATGTATTGGAGTAGCTGGGACTTGCTGGTTCCAGGATCACCAACCAGAAGTATATTGATGTCACCACGGAAGCTAGCACCAGATGGCAACTTCAGAGCATTCCCGCCAAAAAGCTACATTGAAGACAAAGAACTAGCTATTGCTATCCGAGGAAAAAATGAATGTCTAATACCAGAAACAATACCTGGCAAAGAAGACCTTTCTTCACATCATCGAGCTCCCAAATGTTGGGTGCCAATGACCTAGTTAGCTTTTCATATATATCCGGTTGTTTGGATAACTCTTTCAACTCTTCCACCTGCAGTATCGCAAAAGTTCATGAGACAAGTAGCCAATATAACTGAATTCTTGAAGAGAAGAATGTGTAATTTATTAGACCTTGTCTTCATCAAACTGAACATCATCATCAACCCTTTGTGAGACCTTGTCAGCTTCCATAGGGTTCTCAGCCGTCATTCTTGACTTATCAGTTTTCTTTATGTGAAGACAATCGATGTATGTCTGCAAGCAAAGTAAGTACTTTTAATATATATATATTGAAATGCTTGGAGATCTATAAATCTAACAGAAGCATAAGAGAAGACATGCCTTAAACAGTGATTTCACAGTTCTTTGTGTCGGTCCAACTCGAACACTCATTGCCTGTAAATGCCAGTGATCTAATGCAATAGACAAGAACATTGAGGAAACAAATTAAAGAGCCTGGCTACTTGTAATCGTACAACACAGTTTCTTAAGTATCTAACCTCAACCCTGTCCCCAGGTTTTCCAGCATCCACCAGCTTATCATGCATCAATAAGCTCACTGTGTGTGGTGTCCCTCCTTCAGGGATCTCATCCGGTGTCTCCTGGAGCCTCACAATCTGCTTATCAGCAAACCTGAAGTTTGGGGTAATAGAACCAATTAGTTTTGGTCTCAGAATAACTCAAATATGAATAATTGTTTGACCCTAAAGTAACAAATGAAGTATCAAGTAAAAATGAATACAATCATATCTAAGCCTAAACACACCTATAAAACAAGAAAATAAAATTTTAAGCAGGTCCTAACATCACTGCAACTAAGCAAGTTCACTTACAGTAAAAGCCTACTGAAATTTAAACCAGCAGTTACCTGCATCGATTGTGAACCAATGTCATCGAGTTCTTGGCCAGACACTCTTGCTTCAAGCATGAAGTAGGCTCAGTTATTCGTCCTTGTAGCACCATTGACAAATAAACAAATCCATTAGCAACATTACTCCAAAATCAAATTTAGTGAAAGGACCATCGCAAAAATCAATTACCTCTATCAACAACAACCGGATCAGAATGGTAACCACAAACAATACACCTGAACACTGCTTCTCTAATCTCGGGAATTATTGAACTACATCGAATAATCATCCCCTTTAACGACACCATCTTCTCAATATCTAAACCAACCAAAACAAAGAAACCCAAATGAATCCAACACACACAGACACAATAACGCACAATCTATCCAAAATAATATAAAACTGACCAGATGGGTTGAGATTTCTCATGGAAGTAGAGCTCTTCAGATTATAAATCCGAACTTGAACGTGTTTATCAAACAGAGGATTAATTAAACTAACGATGTCCATCAAGACAATATCGAAAATCGCTAAAACCTCGAGGGGATACCTCATCATTTTGTTATACAAATCAGAGTCATAATTAAAAACATCATGAGCATCAACGTCAATCCACTCTCCTTCAACTTCAAGCACTCTATGTATCATTCTCGTATACTTCCCTTCTCCATAAATATCATTGCTTAATTCTTGTGGGCCTCTGAAATGCTTGATGAACATTTGAATTGCATTCTTCACATCTTGAACGCTAATATTGGTACCCCAAACAAAGGTAGGGGTCGCCTCCTCCATATCATCTCCGCCTTCTGAAGATGGCGGTGGGAAATCGTCCGTGGAGGATGGAGTGGCGGCGGCAGCAGGAGTTGGGGATGTGGCTGGGCGGCGCCCACGCTTGATGGAGCGGGATGGAGTTGGAGTAGATGCCGAATTGGCAAAACGAGAAGGGTTTGGAGGTGGGGTAGCGGCGGCAGAGGAAGGAGTGGAGGCTTGACTGCGACCACGCCGGCGGCGATGAGCTGGGGAAGAGGTGTTAGGGATGGGGCTTGAGAACGAATCATCAGGAGAGGAAGGACCTGAAAAAATGAATTAGATTTAAAAATAATAACCCAATAAATTACACTTCAAATATAGAAAATAATCAAGGTTTCGAAGAGGAAGAGAGAGTTACCGTTGTTGAAATTAGTGGGGGAAGAATCGGAAGCCATGGCTAAGAGAAGAAGAGAGGCAAAAGGCGAGGGGTAGATTTTTCTGAGACTGAAGTGAGAAAAAAAGAACGGCACTGCCTGCTGGTTGGAGAAAAGGCTCATTATTTGGCGGGAAATGGTAGGTGATTTTGGCGCCATAGTTGGAGTCGGCTTATGGGCTAAGTTTGGATTTTTTTAACATTCGAGTTTGCAGGCCGTTGGCGATGAAGCTGGACTTGATAGCCCATTATCCATTACTGATATGCATTGATCGGGCTTGTGATATCTTTAAATATTTGTCATGCATTTATCTTTATATCTACATAGTTTTTTTTCTTCTAAAATAGTACGAGGTGATAATAAGATAATATATGTTTACAATATTTTTAATTATCGATAATATACATTTTATAAACATAATTATTTAAACCTAAAACCTCTATGAATAACATCACTTTTCTTAATCACTTAAATCTTTATATTTTCAGTTTCTTGTATATATATATATATATATATATATATTGATACATAAATAATATGAAGCACCAACATGGCTCAAACCCTCTCGTACTTGTGCTATATGAGTGTCCGACATGGACACGAACGGGATACGAGTCATACCAGTCATGCCAAAAAAACCGGGGAGAATAAATTCACTTGTTATATATGTGTATGTATATTATCTAAACCTGTACTTGGAACAAGTATATACATATATTAATGATCCACAAATATTTTTGAGTGTGGATATATATATATAACAGCAACAGGCTCCGACACCATATCAAGAGAGTCTAACAGCGTCTCAGCTCAGCCAAACAGCATCAGGGCCACACTAAATCAGCACGAAGACCCCTTTCAACACCAAACCAGTGAAGAACCACAACAAAGGCACCAAAACAAACAGAAACAAACCCCGCCAGCAAACAAACAGAAAAAAACCAAACACAAAAACAAGTAACAGCGATATATATATGTATATATATGAAAGGATTCGTTCGCTCTGTATAACTTTTTAGTTTACACATTTTTAGAATCGTTTAATGAATGAAAAAAAAACAAAGAGAAAATCTCAAACGTCTATTTTCACTCTATCAACTATCCAAAATAGATATAAAACTAAAAGTTTTGTCCTAGATACAAATGGATCGTAAATTAAAAATTAACTGACCATTTTTTCCCATATGTAATGAGGTAAGGGAGATGTATGATAATAGGTTCCCCGCAACGCCAAGTTGAGAGCAGCTTCCGTGAAGACCTCCGAATTATGAAATGGATCGTGATATATATCTATATATATTCATCTTTTAAGAATATAGATTATGCTTCATAGCTACATTTAGCTATTGGTGATTCGAGTGCAAAAATTTTGATTAAAGTAATCGATTAAAGATGTGCCCAGCTCCTAACTAAGGATTATATGCTATATTATTAGACATAGGGAAATATTTTATACGGTTCTTGCAATGCATGGAAAAGAAATTTTATTATGTAATATAATTTAAAACAGAAAATATGAACATGAGAATATGCAAACTCAATATACCATTTTAAGTTTTTTTATGCATTAATAAAATAAAATTCTTAAGACAAAAAATATTCGCACTTGATAGTGAAGCTGCATTATCTTTATGCAGTTTTAGCTAGCTGAGACTGATACCCTAAACCATCAAAGAAATGGATAAACAAGATAAAGGAGGATATATATATAAGTTCATAACATTAAACAACTAAATCAAACTGTAGTTTGCCAACTTTAATATTAGAGAGACAATATCACATAATTGCAGGCTTTGGAATTTGAAAAGAAAAGGAAAAAAACTAGGTTATTCCTCCCCTAATTGCACCAAACAATCAACTACGTTCTAAAATGGTCCATAAACCTTAACATATTGCATCCTCGAAATATTTGTATTATATCAATCAAATTTTTCTATCAATTTAAACGTTAATTTTGAAGTGTTTAATGTCAGTCGCATCTAATATAGAGCATATTTAAAACACATTTATCAAATAATAGACATATGTGCACCTGTTGCATAAACGATTTAGATTTTATTTGTTAATAAATATTCTTACACGTGAGATCCAAACCGTTCATGCGATAAGTACTCATATGTTAATCTCACATATTTTAAACATATCTTGACTTAAATTTAAACTCACATTTAAAATGTTTTTAAGTTTGGAGAACAATTTAAAATCATGTAAACTAACCCTTTAAACTTTGATTAATTTATATCGTATAAGTTCTAGGGCAACTAAGTACAAGTGATCAGCTAGTATGACCAATATACGAAGTGTTACCAAGGTTTCGGGTGGAGAAAAACTTGCGTACCAGCTGACATTAAAGCATTAAATGAAGATGCATATGCTAAAGGAAGATGACTTCCTGCAGTAACAGAAGTAACAGCAGCAGTTGTTGTTGTTAGAGCAGCAGCATTCATTTGATTTGGCTGCGAATGTGTTTCTCTAGAGGAGCATTCGCCTACTGCTTGATGAGGGCCTTGATCATATAGAAAACCCTTAAACACATGCCCTTCAATATTCACACTTGTCTGATAAGCATACTGATCACCTCCATCTTCAACGGAGCTTATTCGAACACATCGAAACATCACCGTGGAAGTCACTTCAGCCGGATAATTCCCCACTTTTAACCCTAAAAGGGGGCACGTAACCAATATTATAAGAAAGAGAAAACATATGCTAGGGTTCCATTCATCAACAAAAAAAAATGATATACAGTATATAGATCTATGTGTATCTGCTAGGGTACCTGAAGAAGGATTTTGTCTAAGCCTTTTAGGGTTAAGCTGTGGTGAAACAGAAGAGATTTGTGGGTGCTTTTGAGGCCTTCTATAGGCAGGAACCCAAGTGCTTGTGACATGAGTTTGGCATTCAAATCCTCTGCTCCTGCAACAAGTACGGCATCTCATGAACCCACAATCTTTCTTAGCTTTGTTGCCACACTCTTGACACCTTGTGCTGCCTCCTCTGAATCCTCCTTGCCTGGACATCATCATCATCATCATCGTCATCCATTCATTCATATTTCAACACTTTCAGAAAACCTTTGGGTGGGTGTTTTCCAGTTTCCAAAGTCTGATCTTTAAGCTTCTTCTTTGGAAGATGGTGGTGGTGTTTTATACAGCTTGATTGGGTTTGTGTTTATGGGTTTTTAGACATTACCTTTTTGAGCTCATAGCTACTGTAATTTCCTGGGGTTTCTCGGTTTTTTTTTAGATTATAAAGCTGTGAAACCAGTAAAAGAAGGATCTTCATTTTGGTCTCTCATGGATCACCGAAAATTCTAGAGATCGTGAACTGGAGCAACGAAATGTTAAGGTATGTTCTTATATGTCAGATTCTGAAGTTATGGTGTCCTAAGATTTTTTCTTTGTGCGGTGTGGGGCCAATTGTAACAAATATCTCTAATTATGGATAAATTTTTTGGTAAATTACATTAGATATCACTACACTTTAGTTTTTTTTGGACGAATTTGCCGCTGAACTATAAATAGATGTGATTGTAATACTAAACTTTTGTTTTGTATGCAATTATATCATTAAACTGATAACCCATTAACAATAGGATGACATAGCAATTTAGTGTTGATTTATGTTGATAGGAAAACTAAAATATATCTTTATATTCCATCTCATCATATTCTTCTAAGACTTTTCACCCATTTTTAATCACTATCAGAAACAATCATTTTCTAGTGTCTTTATAGTCATCATATATATTGATAAACTCGTTTCATCCTCTTTGGCCACTTTATCTATTCAGATTTTTCTAATTTTTTTAAAACTCACGGAATTAAACAAAACAAAAATCACTATTTTCGGTGGTTTTGGGTTTTTCTCATATTTTAAGGGTTTTTGGATGTCTGTTAAAAAATTTGAAATGTAAAAAAACATGATTTGGAGAAGATGAATGAAGTGTATAACCAAAAGGTACTATAAGTAAAATTGCAAGAATGAAATCAAGTGATTCCCTAATGTTAAGTAATTAAATGAAAATGAACAAACAAATGATGGCTAAAAAGATATAATATATGTTAATGTGACGCTTTACATTGATACATTACAAAGTATATTGTTATCATATATTTTATACGATTACTTTATGTATTAATTGTCTCAGTAAGCTTTCTGAAGCTCATTTCTTTATTATTGCATTAATAAAAAGTTCTTTTTTATATATCGATTTTGAATTATATTTTTAGAGGTCGCAAGTTAAATTTCCAAAACGCCAATTTGGCGTGGGTAAAGAAGTGATAGCCTTCCACTTTGTATTTGTCCTTTGTATTTCCCAAAACACCTGCCTTTTTGGACCTTTCAACTCTCCTTAAATTTTCCTATTCAATGCTTTTGAATTCAAAAGTGGTGGACTATCATAATTTTAGGGGGGAATCTAGCACCTTTCCAGATTTATACTTGATTTTTAATCTGCTGGGGTTTTTTTTCCCTCTTTCTCCCAAAAAATGCAGTAGCTTGGGGACGCTCATGAAAGAGCAGTGGTTCGCTTACACGTTTTGTACTTACGTCAAGGTCCGGGAAATGTGGAAGGACGAAGACATAATTTTGCGTAAGAAAAGTTAAATTTTTTAAAAAATTTAAAAAATAGTTGAATTTATAAAAGTTTAAAGAAAAAATAGTAGATTATCAACAAAAATATATGTCAAAATAAAATTTGAAATTTTTAAAAATGACGATTGTCCTCGGTCTATCTATGTAAATGTCACTTCCCGGAGGAACTTCTTTTGCTGTTGTTAGGGATATTGTTTTCTAATGTTCAATGGTGCCAAACAACACCAAGAAGAAGAGTTCATCACGCGACATAAGTGTATTAGTTCCTTCATTACAAATATCTAATGCCTAACAAATAATACACGCATGGCTATCCTTAAACCAATTGTTAAGTATTTGTTACCTATAAATTTGAAGGCAACCCTACCTTTTAAACACCGTATGGGAGTTGCCATATATATTCTCAAGCTCCAACCCCCCCAAGTGTTTTGGGTTTTAAATCTAAACCTTTTTTTAATAGTGTGAATGATAGAATGCAATATATGTTCATAATCTTTTTAAATTATTGATATACACACGTACCTTACATACGTAACTGTTTGAAGCTATATTCATAAAAGAGAACAACATTCCCTTTAACATTAAAGCCACTCAATAAGTTCAACTAAGACTTAAATTTAGAAATTAAGAAAAATATAGTGTAGGATACTATAAACATGCATGATTTCTTGAATGGATAGTTGTGGGTCAAGTTGATTTTTTTTTGTGATAGATTAATTTGAAATTAATCATTTCCAAAGTTAATTAGTTCAAGTTTAAGTTATTTTTGTTTGATTTTCGAATTAAGATTATCTAATATTTTCAATTCGAATTATTCAGACTCATATTATTTTGGATTCAAAACATTTCAGTTTGAGTCCATTCAATTTGAATTTAATGAATTAATGTGATCTTTTTATAGTTGAATTCAATTCAAATTAATGAGATCGTATTTTTAAATTCGAATATAATTTATCAATGCATATCATGCAATATATTGTACAAAACGAAACAGATGACAGTTGACTTACTTTTGATATTGGTTTTTCTTTCGAAGTTGTGATTGGCAAAATTTCCCAATAGCCTTGTCGTGCTTGTCACATCTTTTGTACTGAGTAGAGAGGTATGGGAAGTGGGGGGGGGGGGTTATGTATGAAATTCATGAGCTGACTCGTAATAATAATTCATGAACCAGACGAGCATTCCCTTATCTCCTTCGAGTAAACAGCGGATGTATGTGTTTTTTAGAGTATGTGTGATTTTGAAATCAAATATTTTTATATTAATTATCTATTTTATTAATGAATATGTGCTCACTTTATAAGATATTTTTTTGTCCACCACTGCTTCGGATATTAAGGACTGAATCTGAGGCTCATTTTTAGTTGAATTGCTAAACACCTGGCAGAGAATGTAATTGGATGGCCCTCCCTCAACTAGACAATATAATCATAAGGGTATTTTGATTGGAGAGTACAACCTTATCTCAACTACATCAGGGCCTTCAGCTCCTTCCTATCTTTTTTCTTTTCTTTTCATTATTAAGACTTCGAGATTGGTTGGTTGAGTTGAGAGGAATGCGCCGATCAACGGGTGTACGAACTTTATTCGACGTATTATTCTCTCTTCTAAAGGGTTTTCGTTGGGTTATTTTTTATTATAATTCACATCACTATACCCTTGATTCTTAAAAAATCTAAAAATAAAAATGAAGTAAAAATTGAGAAGTCTTCTAGGTTCAATTGAATAGAATGCACAAATTGGATTAAAATTATATAGGGTAAATTACATTGAATTTTAAGTTGTGCAAAGATTTTATCATTGAATTTTAAAATGCTTCAATTTTAATATTAAACTTTAGTTTCAGATTCAATTAGAATATTGAATCATTAAATCATTAACGACACGACTGACGTAATTGTTTTTTCCCAATAAAGTTAGTTTATATATCTAGTTTCCCATTAAATTTTAAAACCATTCAATTTTGAACGTTAAATTTTAATATACTTGTCAATTTGGTTTATGTAAAAATATCATCAATACCCATAACCGTCATTGTCAATCAATTATCGTCCATCATCTATTGTCATTCGAGAAAAAACGATACCAAAATATTCATATTTCTTGTCTTTCTTCTCATTTGATTAATTTTTCAAAAAATCTATTCAAAAAGGGGGAAAAATAATGTTAAAATCCAAAGTTCTAAATGCTCCAATATCCTCCCCGATTGTCCAATGAGACTAATATTGAGGTACGATATTCACCGTCTTGAAAGAATGCCTATCGCCATTCCATTTTTCAAACATAATCTTAAACTCCTCAATTTCAAAAAAGTCACCAACCTCGAAAAATGATGAATTTATTGTGTTTGATTTAATGTTTTAATTTTTTAAAACAAAAAATAAAACAATAAAATGATAGAAGAAAATAAGACAAGTTATTTGGTGTCTAAGATAGCTGCAACAGACACCAAAGAATGATAAAAACAATCAATTAAAATATCAATATAAAATAGTTTTACTTAATACTATATAGTATATAAACGTCGAATTAGGGTAGACCGAATTCAAGCCTGGGCATGAAAAGTTGCAGGAACCAAACTACAACCCAGCCCAATGGACAGGTCTAATGGCAACCAATCGGAAGTAATGAAAACCAGATCGTGCACAAATCAACCCTAGCTCCAACATACATATAAATCACTTGGCAAGATCTCCATCACTATTCTATGAAACATCAAAACAAGAACAGCCTGAAAGTTACAAATTCGAAATTCATTCTTAGATCTGAAAATATCATACTGAACTCTATTCAGAGGAATATATATGTATTGGTCGATGAAATTGATTTTGAAGATGAAATGATAAGAAAAATAAAATTCAATAGTACCAGTTTTCTGCAGCTTCATCATCATCGTATCTGCGAAGGAGAACATAGCAATCCTGAAGCATCTGCCCCGACCACTGCAAGATCACACACTGTGCACAATTGCCCTTCCTGGCTAGGCACAAAACGAGCAGTGCAATATGGGCAAGATACATCCTTCTGTCCTCTGTAAATAGGAACATAAGTTCCCCCGCATGTCACAAAAGGGTTTCTGAAATCGTAGTTTAGCTGTGCGGCATCTGTCATATTCCTCTAGCAGCTTGAAGCACTTGCCTTGCAGCCTTTGCTTGATTCTCATTTGTGGGGTTTGTTTCTAGTAGTCGCCTGGCGAAGTTACCGGCTGTAGCCCAGTTCTTTGCCTTGGAGCAGACAACCATTGCATTTTGCAGAGCAAGTCTTTGATGAGGTATCTGAAGGTTGCAATGGGTGAAGTATGCAGCAAGCTCCTGTTGCCGCACTGAATCATCTTTCATTTCTCTTCGCTTAAGCTCCATTTGCAGACCAAGAACATACTCCTTAGCAATAATAATGAATTCCTTGACTTCGTCAACTTCCCTCCTTGACTCCACAACTATCAATGGAATTGTGTGAAGAATGCTGAGGAAGAGCAAAGAGCCTCGGTAAATTTTCCAGCTGTGGTGGCCTTGTAACCAGCCTTCAGCTTCTCATCCAACTGAGAAAAATTGAAAACAAGGGCAGGTGGACACCTCACATTAGGACTACCAGACTCACTCCATCCCCTCTCAATAGCCAAGGACAACACTGGTGCAGATGAATATGCACGAAGATAGCTATGGCTGCCTGTGTGAAGATCAAGAAACGTTGATTTCAAAGGAGCAAAGTTTCTTACGCCAAGTTGCCTGTTCAGCAATCGCATTGCTGTATCAAAATTACCAGCAGCTGCATGTTCAGCAGCAAGAGATGATTTCTGAATCCAAATCTGACTTACAGGCATACCAGGAGTTGGTGCCACAAAAATAGACAATCGAGCACCACCAGAAACCTTTGGGGTGTCTACCTCGGGAGGAAGTTCCAAATCTTCAAGGTCCCATCCACCTTCCTCTTCATTTTCTTCAGCCACTTCCCCGTACTCCAAAATTTCGGTAACATCCCCATTCTGTAAGCCATCAACATCGACCACATCAAGATCTTCACCCCAATCACCTCCTGCATCCTCTTCCTCT